TAATAGCGAATTCGGTAGCTTGCACTAGTGCGCACTGAGTGCGCATTAAGGCTTGTTTACAGTACATTCTTATATTTAAGATCGTGTCTTAAATACATATTTAAAAACATTTTAACTAATAAAATGATTCGTACGGATGTTATACATATCATATTATGGTTAAAAATATTTGAGAATTTATTTGAGAATTATTTAAGACAATCTTTAAATATAATAACATACTATGAACAAGCCTTAGTGCGCACTCAGTGCACACTAGTGCAAGCAACCGAATTCGCTATTACACTGCTCTAACTTGCTCTTACCCGTTCTTTTCAGACCCATATGTATCTTTGCACTGGTCTGCACTATCTTGAACTTTCTTCAACTAGTACAGTTCCAGTGCAGCCCTAGGTCAGGTCGAAAGAACAAACCTAGTGTGTCGCGTCGCACATCGCACTGGTCTGCGAGAGCCATTATGAGTTAGCATTACGACAGCCGATTAGGTTAGAATCCATTTGACGTTGCAAATGCTTCGAAGTGTCACATTGACCAATCATAATTGTTCATTGGCCTGGTTTACATCGTGCACTTGATACGCGTACTAAATAGTAACTTTCTATTAATCTTAATATCGATAATGGGCGCATTCAGTAGAAAAAGCGCTCAGTGAGCAATCAACGATTATTGGTTCTTGCTATTAGATCCCTAAATCTAGACCAATTACATTGGCCGCGTTCAGTAGAACAAGTGATCAGTAAGCGCTCAGTGAGCTCTTGCATCTGATTGGAATATAGTTGAAGATCTAAAAGAATATGCCAAATCATATACAAGAGCTCCCTGAGCGCTTACTGATCACTTGTTCTACTGAACGCGGCCATTGACAAATTACTCAACTGTTGTGCAACTGTTGAGTCTGCTGAATGCAGCCAATGCATATCAACAGCGACGCATTCTATCAATACAATACGTTTTGTTGATGAGTATACCAGCTTAATATACCGTTGTTTATATATATCGTCGATATTAAGATTATCTAATAGAAAGTTACTATTTGTACGCGTATCAAGTGCACGATGTAAACCAAGCCATTAAATAGTTGCGTTCCGTTTCACGCATTATGCGCACATTGCCTACAATATACGTAACACGAACTATAGATAAATGCGCGCATATGCGTGAAACGGAACGCGGCCAGTGTTCCAAAACTTTTGTAGCATCAAGTATATTGTAACCAATATCAATGTACAGAATCCACTTGAAGATACAAACGTTTTGGAGCATTCAAAGTAAAACTATGATTGGTCAATATGATGTTTCGGAACATTTGTAGTATCAAGTGAATCCTATCCGATATCAATATTCAATTGGTGGATACTTTCTCACCCGACCAATCAGATCCATCGACCGTTCATGCGAATCAGGGAGTAGTATTGCCGAATCTATATTGATAACGAGAATACGCCTTTAGTCTGTGACTTGTCACGAAAGGAGTAGTGCGTGTCATACAGAGTTTCTTTTCGGATTGGCTGTACCGTGCCTGCGTCGTCGCTGGGGTCTGGTGTGTGTGGCGTGTGTGTGCGAGAGATATACCGGAACGAGAAGCGATCGTGTGTCCGTCGTGTGCATTCCCGCAACGAGAGCAATCGAGTCCGACGATGAGTGATCCAAAGAGGTAAGTGAAAAACTGAGATAAATCTACGAAATGGCCTACCTACGGTGACTTTCATGGCGTTTCGTCCTTGGGCGGCTCGCAATAACGCCGAGCGTGCTGATAAACGACGCGCGACAATAGTCGATTGCGACTCTCAATTTCACGATGTCATCATGTCGACGGGACGCGTTGTTTTCGAAAGATCCGTTCGTTTGATGATGCGTGCCGTATGCGATGTCGTGCAAGGAAATCCGCGGGATCTCTTGCTCGGTGATATCCTTCTCGTTGCGAGCTTGGCAGTTTGCATTGACGGGAATTACGCTTATCAATTTTCCTATGTCGCTCGATCATGGCCGTGTGATGAACTAAATACGACAAAGAAATATTAACGACATGTCAATTTCACCTTTTCTCGCGCAACATCCGACCATGACTATCGATTTCGCGCGATAATCTCCGTACGATGCGAATGTTATTCTTGTAATAATCTCACGTTTGTTATTTATAAACTTAAAAACATTAATTAATCGATTGTTTTGTATCTGTTCATAATCTGCTATCGTGTATCCGCATCTTGTTATTATAAGATCAAGAAGATTCCAGTAAGTATTGGAATCTATAAGCATAGATACACCTTAGATAGTAATATTAAAATAAATGCATAATTATATTACAATTATTCTACTATGTCATATATTTCATTACCTTTTCTGTAGGAATCATAGAGATAGAATTGTTTCATAGAAACTTAAAATTTCTTACAAAAACTTGGTTAGTTTTTATGTAACAAAACTAATTTAGAAATTTATGTATGATACATTAATTTTTTAAAACATGTTTTACCTAGAAATTGAAGTTCTATATATATATTGTAATAGTAATTTTTGTATTTTTAAGTATATATGTACACACACACATACAATATATATGTACATATATATGCTTTGACTGATGCCCAAATCAAGTTTATATCTTATTCTATATGAGATATACAATATAAAATAAAGAAGAAGATCAAAATAATACATGTTTATTAATGATTACTAAATGATAATTAATATTTAATATTTCAGTGGTGAAGATCTGGCAACTGCTATCCTTCGCAAGAAGGATAGGCCCAACAGACTATTGGTCGATGAAGCTGTCGCAGACGACAATTCTGTGGTGGCTCTTTCTCAAGCAAAGATGGACGAATTACAGCTGTTTCGTGGAGACACTGTATTGCTGAAGGGCAAAAGGCGTAAAGAGACAGTATGCATTGTCCTCTCCGATGACACTTGTCCAGATGAAAAGATTCGTATGAATCGTGTTGTTAGAAATAACTTGCGTGTACGTCTGAGTGATATAGTTTCTGTCCAAGCATGTCCAGAAGTGAAATACGGAAAGCGTATTCATGTGTTGCCCATGGATGATACAGTTGATGGTCTTACTGGGTAAATTTCCTAATAAATTGTTTAATTATATAATAGTTTAAATAACATTATAATTTTAACATATTTTAGAATAATCGAGATACTTTAAAATCAACATGTGATGCTAATTGTTACAAACAAGCAAATTACATGTGTGATATATGCTCTTCTTTTTGTAGAAATTTGTTTGAGGTA